AATCGTGCATCCAGGGATAGTGATTGATTCCTATTTGCATGTAATCCTTTCACATATGATTACATGTGAGTACAGGCGTTTACATGCAGTGGCTGTCACCAGATCATTAATTTCAATCGGTGACAGTTGCCGCAAGTAACATGTGCATACATTAACACTGGTACCGTATATAGTAGCGGCCCCCACGGGACTAAAAAATGTGTCCAGTGGCCCTGAATAAATTGAGTTCCCGGAGACCCCTGGCTTAATACAAACTTTTACCCTCTTTGCATGCTGATCTGAAATAATCTAGCAGTCAATCATTTAAAATGTTTTTGCATTTTCATACAATTATTGTTTTTCCAATTCTTGGTTCAGTGGGGCTACATCACCAATGCCTTCCTGGGAAATCTCAACTCTAAACTCAAATACCACGAGATTTCTGGGGGAAAGACCTTTTTCCCCCCAAAGATTATGTGCACTGTCACATATTCCAGGAGACCTAGAGTTCCACTATGTAAAGGGATTCATCTGCCCTTAGTAAAAATGGCAATTAAGAGAGGAATGGGGAGGAAAAGAAAAATACGTTTATGCAAACAATTAGGAATGCACCGATATATCGGCCGCCGAAAATGGCACTTTTGGCATAAGGGCCGATCTAGCGGTGCATCTCTGCTTTCTCTCCTGCTTTCTCTCCTCCCCACTGGGCGCTGCTCTGTGTCCCAGCGCTGAGAAGAGAAACTGTCACAGGCAGCCTCCTGTGACAGCTGTCAGGAAGCAGAGCGAGATACAAACACTCAGTGATCGCTGAGTGTTTGTAAATAATTGAGGACATAGCATGTTGACTATATCCTCAATTATGAATGAATGGGAAGGGATCTTCCCTCCTGTCCATTCATGATTATGGATATAGTAAACACAATATATCCTCAAGTTATGAATGAACAGGAACACTCAGTATAGAGGATTCCTGTTCATTGATAACAGGGGATGCAGAAAAAGAGATTAAGGACTCTGTGTTCTCATTTCGGTGCACCTCTACAAACAAAAAGCCAGCAATTATCTATAGGTTTACACACTCACTCACTCACTCACTCACACTCCAAAAGTATTGGGACACCCCTCAATCATTGGGTTTAGGTTTTCCAATCACCTCCATGGCCACAGGTGTATAAAATCAAGCACTTAGGTATGCACACTGCTTCTACAAACGTTTGAACTCCAGAGAGCGACCCATTCTTTCACAAGCGTGGTACCGTGATAGGTTGCCACCTGTGTAGGGCTGCAGCTAACGATTATTTCCATAATTGATTAGGTAGCCGATTATTAACTTCGATTAATCGGATAACAAAACAAAAAAAATAATGTAATTTAAAATACATAAATACAGCGTTACAGACATAGTTTACTTCAGAATAACAGAATGCACATTTTTTAAAAATCATACTGCACTGGAACGTAGGACATTACAGTACCGTGCGGGCAGTCACACTGGGAACGGGATGTGCATTTGGGATCCATGGAAATGAATGGCACTGCAACAAACCTGGAGCAAAGTCAGGCCAAAACTGAAAATTACTTTCTCTTCCACGAAAATAGGACCGTGTCTTATTTTTTTTTTTTCTTCACGAAAAAAGACACTAGATCTTATTTTCGGGGTGTTCTAAGCCAATATAATAAAATAACCAAACTTTTATTTTAAATGACATACAACAATAATATTTAAAATAACACCAAAAAAAGTATTTCTATTTTTTATTTTAGTTTATTAACCCCTTCATGACTGAGCTTGTTTTTAGTTTCTGTTCGTAAATGACTGACACACTTTTGACATTTTTGCTGTGTGATTCTTCCACGTCGGTAATATACTTTCTTACAAAGTGCACCCACACATATTATATATTGTTTTTTAGAGGACAGATAGGGCTATATATTTATATCACATATGTGTGTCTAACGCCTCAGGACACATAAAATATAAAAAAAGAGGAGAAAACGTTAAAACACCCAGTTTTGATTTGTAGTATTTTTTTTTACAAAAACAGCACAGCTAAAACAAAATGCAATAAATACATTCATTTATTTGTCCCTTATTTTTTTTTATTTTTTTACACTTTTCACTTTTTTTTATACTTAAAAATGTTTTATTTATTTAATTATATCAAGCAGTCATTGTGAATCTCACTATTACTGCTTATTATAAGGCTGCTTCAAACTTCAGAACAGCCGATAATAAGTTAGTGACACTGATCCTGCAGCAGTTCAGGATTCAGCTGTTACTAAAGGTTTTCTGATTGTTACAACAACCATCAGCAAACTGAAACATTCTTCTTTCAGGAATAGATACATTATGTATCCCTGAAAGTGAAAAAAAAAAAAGCCAGTATAGCTTGAGAGAGATATCTCTCGATCTATACGAGCTGTCAGAATGCCGGCATGTTTGCCGGCTCTGCTTTGACTCTGACACCTGATATTAAGGTACCGGGTGTCTTAAGAAGGTTAACCGTTTCATTAATGGATGCCTCTAAACTGAGGGATACATTAATTATCAGCGGTTACCAGCCTTCTAGTGCAGCAAATAACTCGTCACGTACAGTGTACGTGACAAGTCATTTGGTCCCTTTGTGGCGGGACGTACAGTGTACGTCTCCCGTCACGAAGGAGTTAAACCTTTTAAACAAAATTTGTTTGCATTTTTTATTAACTTTTTTTACATTTTTTTTTTTTTCCAGTATTTTTTGCAGGTGCAATAGCCAGCCTGTTATTGGCTATTGCATTTGAAAATATCCAATAGCAGGCTGGGTATAGCTCCCAGCCTCTAGATGCTGTGGAGGCATGGGGGCGGGGGCACATAAAACATGCATTAAAGGATTCTACTCCAGGAAAAAAAATATTAACCCTTAGTAGTGGGGCTACCCCAGCACTCACAGTTTAAGTGCTTGTTTGTGTCTAGGTTCTAAACTAAAAAAAAAAAAAAATGTGTATTCGCTCGATCATTCCAGCCAACTTGTTCTAGACCCGTGTAGTGAGCATAACTTTTTTTTTTTACATGATAGTCAATGTTGTCTTTTTGTCTATGCTATGAATGCCTAACTGTAACAAGTAACAGTTTTCCACATATTAATTGTGTGCAGCCTTGAGACCTTTTTCTACCCAGCCCTTTGCTGCCTTTTCCTTCCATGTCCACCAGGTGCTTTTCCCAGTTTGTGTAGGGTATGCGAGCCTGAGAAAAGTAGTGATGGACTACAATCTCCCGTTTAGTTCACTAATATGTATTGAGATTGTAGTCGGTTAGGAAAGTGAGCTTGGGGCAGTGGCTGCTTTACTACACACCCATGGGGAACAAAAGTAGCCACCCTCCAAAAGGAAGGACAGTGTCAGCATGAATTCAGAGATGGCTTGAGGATCTGTAGCCAAGTGATACACAAAGACGGTACAGTATTGTGAACCGTTAGGGTGCTTGAATGCATTTTTAAGTGTCGTTTGCTAAAGGTTTAGTTCTACTTTAACTTTTTCATAAATATAGTAAGTTCATGTGCTTGACTGTAAGGGGCATATGAATCTGTATTTAAATTTTAATATCAATCAATATTTTGGGCTACTTTAGATTCAGAGAATAGCTCATATTAGAGTTCTACTTTATCCGAATTGAGTGGAATTCATAAAAACTGGAGCAGACAGAATCAGGAGCAGTTGCCCATGGCAACTTATCAGCACCTCTCATTTTTAAAGCTAAACTGAAGAGTGCCGCTGATTGGTTGTTTAAGAAAACTGTCTGCTCCTGTTGTCAGGAACTCCCTCCCATTGTTCTTTTTATATTTTACTACAAGAGGTCATATGAATGTTAAAAGGAAAAGGAAGCGTTTCTTAGTCACCATTTCTGTGGTTTCATTTTATTTGTCATAATCTCACTCCTTGACAACACTTCTGTTTTTTAAAAAACAGGTACATGACTGCACAACTCCTATAAACTAGCATATTTGGTGGCTAGTTGCTAGGCGCCTAAACATTTATTCTCTGCCTCTGATATAATTTTATACCTTTTTTAATACCTTTTTTTGTGGTTAAGGTATTGAGCAGAATGTCTATATTGTAGGTCTATATTGTAGCTTATTGCTTTTATACATATTTCCACTTAATATGCAGTTGTGCTCATATGTTTACATACCTCTGGCAGGGCTTATAAAATTTGGAATATTTTTAAGAAAACACAAGTGATCACAACAAACATATATTTCTTTAGATTTCATTTGATTTAAACTATTAAGCATCACAGAATAGAACAATCATTAAAATGATCTGTTGCCTCTTTTCGCATCATTGATGGTTGCAGTCTTTTGTGAAGGTTTTAATTGAGGCAGTTTATTTTCTTGTGTGGTAAAGCTGCTTATTCTTTTTGACAAAAATCCTTCAGGTCCTTTTTTACTTTTTTTGAAATGGCATGCTTGAGATCTTCCCAAAGTTGCTCAATGATGTTGTTGTGAGGGGTCAACATGGCATTATGCTTCAGATCATTGTCGCTTTGGGAAGTCCAGTTGTGTCCCATGCATTGCTTTTGGGCTGATGAATTCAAATTGTCCAATATTCTTATAAAATGCTGTATTCATCTTGCCACTAGTTTTATCGAAATATGCTGTGCCATTATGTAGCTTACACCCCCCCCCAAAACAGCAGAGATCCATCTCCATGTTTCACAGGAAGAATGGTGTGCTTTTCTTCGTAGGCCTTGACTCCTCTCCAAGCATAGCATGTATGGTTGTGACCATTAATTTCAGTGTTTATTTTAAATGTATTCCAGTTTTAAGCCTTCCCTATGTGCTGTATGACAAATCGTAAGCAAACTATTTTGTGTATTAGGTGCAGTATAAATGGCTAATATTTTACAAAGTCCACCAAGGGTATGTAAGCAGCACAACTGTTGCTAATTCAGAATAAGGTCAGCCCAGAGTTGAGAGCCTTTATTTTTCCCTTAATACAGGTTGCATTTAAAAGGTCTACTAAACACTCTCTTTGTGTTTTAGGGAACCAGTCTACAGAAATGACCGAATACAAACTGGTGGTGGTGGGAGCTGGGGGTGTTGGAAAAAGTGCCTTAACAATACAGCTTATACAGAACCATTTTGTAGATGAATACGATCCTACAATTGAGGTAAGTCATACAGTTCCAAATTTGTCACCTTGATGTTTTTGTTTTCCTAGGCTTCAGTGTACAAGGTGTTTAAGGTATGATATAGAAAAGTAAGATAGCTTAGATGAGATTACATTCAGGGGAAGCACTGGTAGATGAGTGACTGAACAGTGACAGGAGCCGGCGCTATAGTGGAAGCATCAGCCTATGCGGCTCTGCTCCCTCCACTTACTCCTCGCTTCCTCTAGAGCTGGCTTCGTTGGTACCGCTGATTCTCTCCCGCAGCTCTTCAAGTTCCCCCTTATTCCACCACTGGGCTTGGTAATGGCCCCAACTAGGTCTTATTTTTGGGGTAGGTCTTATATTTTAGCAATTCCCAAAAATAGTACTAGGTCTTATTTTCGAGGTAGGTCTTATTTTCGGGGAAACAGGGTATGTCCGAGTCACCCTTGGCAAGTGGGCAGACTCAAGTGCAGAGATTGCATTTAAAGTGTCTTCTGTGTTGTGGGTTTTTTTTTTCTGTTATGTAGGGTTGCACAGATACCAAGTACAGTACTCGGTACAAGTACGAGTACATGTACCGATACTTTTGAGCTCCAAGACTACTCTAGAGAAAAATTCAAAAATTAGGAGGCAGCTGCCATTTGTAAGGCGCACACAGAGCTCCTGGGATTTGTACATCTCTGTTTTAACGTACGATTTTGTTTTTATAACTATAAATAAAGGGATGCACAGAGTACGAGTACTGATACATTTTTGTTTATCGTCATGTGACAGTTTTTCTAAAACAATACAGACTAATGATTTCAGGGCAGTGTTGGAGTGCCCGAGGCAAGGTCCCAGCTGCAACCCTGGTAGTTCTCATGAAAATGCCAAGTATCTGCACTGGTACTCGAAAAGTATCTGTGCATCCCTAGTTAGCAGAAGGGTCAAGGGTATACTAAGCAGTAGGTGGGGAGCTATGTCAATTTATGTGAACAGATCTTCCAGCTTAAGCTCCACAAGAACACCGTAGAAAAATTCAGTCCAACATCTTTCACCTATACTGGAATACATGTTTTCCTGTTTATTCCCTAGGACTCTTACAGAAAACAGGTGGTGATTGACGGAGAAACATGCTTGCTGGATATTTTGGATACTGCAGGCCAAGAGGAGTACAGTGCCATGCGTGACCAGTATATGCGAACTGGTGAAGGGTTCCTTTGTGTGTTTGCTATCAACAACAGCAAGTCCTTTGCCGACATCAATTCCTATAGGTAAATGTACACTCTTCATGAATTATAAAGGGTTTTAAACATTCCTTGTGCTGAGCATACAAGGACAGATCTTTCTTTTGGTGTGTTTAAATATCTATTCTCCAAGTTAAAGTGACCCTAAACTCAGGAATTGAATCTTAAAAATGCATTCAATTACCTTAACTATTAACAAAAATATGACTTATTTGTTTATCACTCAGCTGTAGATCCTCAAATTATCTCTAAATTTGTGCTGACACTGTCCTTCCTTCTGGAGGGTGGCTACTTTTGTTCCCCATGGTCCCTGTGTGTGTTGTAAAATAGCCACCGCTCCAAGCTTGTCCCCGTGATGCACTACAATCTCACATTTAATTTACTAATTTGTTTTGAGATTGCAGTCTATCACGGGTGCGAGCTTGGAGCAGTGGCTACTTTACAACACACACAAGGACCATGGGGAACAAAAGTAGCCACCCTCCAGAAGGAAGGACAGTGTCGGCACCAATTCAGAGATTGAGGATGTACAGCTGAGTGATGAACAAATGAGGTACAGTTTTGTAATAGTTCAGGTCCATGAATGCATTTTTAGGATTTTGTGTCACTTTAATGCACTTCCAAGATCTTTCTGGCTTCTCATTGCATAAAATAATTTGGTGGCGGGCTTATTCTGTAACGCAAAGAGCAAAGTATAGTAAACAAAAGTGACAAATCGGTGGTTTTTCCACCATTTGATATGAGTTTTTTAAAATATTATCAAGTGCTGCAATTTGCATTGTTTATTTTTCATAATGTTGTTGTATTGAATAATTAGGATATTATTTACCCTTTTTTTGTTTCTTTAAAAAAACTTTCTTCTAACAGGGAACAAATAAAGAGAGTAAAAGACTCAGATGATGTCCCTATGGTACTTGTTGGTAACAAATGTGATTTACCAACCAGGACTGTAGACACCAAGCAAGCTCAGGAGCTGGCCAGGAGTTATGGTATCCCCTTCATTGAGACCTCTGCAAAAACAAGACAGGTATGTCATTTTTAACATTGGACTATAAAAAACACATAGAAATTTGTGTAACAATCTAACTACAATACAAGAAAGGGATAAGATATAACCATAAGGGGAGGATAGCACAGAGGGGGAAGTGTGCGCACACCTATGTTTACATTTTTTCCTTCTGTACTTACAAATGCATTCCAATATTTGTTGCACCACTGCCTATACAAATAAGCTTGAGCTGCTAAGATTTGTCAAGCCATGGGGATGAAAGCAGGTAAACAATTGGGAAAGTTACCAGCACTGCAAGGTTCCTCTGCAAGGGGTAAAAGTAATAACATTTCAGTTTGTTTATTGAAAGTGTTGGATCCACATTGGAGAAGAAACACCAAAGGTGACCTTAAAACCTGTATGCATTCATTAAACACATTTTAACACTTGGGCAGACAACTAGTGCCACAGTTTGATGCATCCCTGTACTGTATCCCCTTGCGCGCACTCATAGTAAATACCTCTATGATTTTTAGAATTCAAATAGTTGAACTGTTACACTGGACCCTAAGTAGGAGTATTCCTTGACTCCATCTAGCTGATTGTCCTCTTAGTGCTTGTGATTGTATCCTGTAACAGAGTAATGACTAAAGGAGGATATACAGGCAGCAAATTCTGTCCGGTTCTTGATGAGCCGACCGAAATTCGCACAATGGGTCCTGGTGGCGGCACCTTTCTGTTGGATAAAAAATTCTTGTCAAACGGAGCTTGCAGCCTATCACCTGCAGGCTCCGTTCAGTATTCTGACAGCCAATGGCTGCTGTCAGAATACAGTAGGAACAGCATCTGACAATATGTGTTGCAGGAGTTTAAAATAACTTTTGTTTTGGAGTTCTTGCTACCTTGGAGACAAGTGGTTTGGAGTCCTTGCTACTGAGGTTTAGACCTCCTTTAGTTAGTTCCCCGCTTTGCTGTTTTAGCAGATCTTCCCCCTACCTCCCAATTTTTTTTTAATTTTTTAAATTATTTTATTCTACTCCCTCTCTCCCCCTTTCTATTTCCCTTCCTCCTAGGCCCCCCTTCACCATATGTAGCTAATACACTCCAATAATTTTAATCTTCTGTGGACTACAGGGACATGGAGGACCTACAGCTGGTTATCATTAATGCTAAGGGCCTCAATACCCACGAGAAACGGAGACTACAACTGCAGGACCTTAGGAGATGGGGATCTCATGTGGCCTTCATCCAAGAAACCTATTTTAAAGCTGACGCTGCTCCCTCGCTCAGGGATTCCCACTTTCAGGTCTCCTACCACTCATGCGTTGTGTTTTCAAGGTCAAGAGGGGTTTCCATTGTGCTTTCTAGACAGGTTCATGGATTGCCAGACTGATGCCGACGGCCGTCATCTTTTTCTGAAAGGCCGTATTGGCCTGACTTTGGTCACTTTTGCGGCAATTTACGCTCCAAACTATAACCAGGGTCTTTTTCTGGAAAATAGATTTGCTATTGAACTTTTCGGTTGGAATTTTGCTCCTTGGTGGTGACTTTAATGTACTATGGATCCAGCCATGGATTCAACTTCTTCTGGTTACTCCTCCTTTTCCCCTACAGCAGGCAGACGTATCCTCCGATCCTTTTTCCGTTCTCGACTTGTTAATGCTTGGCGTCTGCAGCATCCAAATATGAAAGACTATACGTTTTATTCTGTGCCCCACAATATGTATTCACGCATAGACATGTTTTTTTTAGCATTGATCACTACTACAGATATAGGCACTATCACATGGTTGGACCATGCTCCGGTGTTTTTGACACTCACTCTTTCTGATCTCCCTTCCCATGAGTCGTGGCAGTAGCGTCTTAATGACAGTCCACTTCAGGACCTAAATATTCTGTCTGATGTCACTAAGGAATTGCGCTCCTATTTTGCTCTTAATGATGTAGAGGATTGTGATCCAGTACTCCTATGGGAAGCCCATAAAGTCTATATTAGGGGGGTTTTGATCAAGCATGGCTCCCGTGTTAAGCGGCAGAGAAGTGCCAAACTTCTGGATCTCCTGCATACTCTTCACGGTTTGGAACTCCAACATAGATCAACCCACTCTCCTGCCATACTGTCCGATATACTCTCTGCCAGCAGATAAACCCCTTAGCCTCTTATAGAGTAAAAGCGACGCTCACGCGCTGTAGGTGGAAATTTTACGAATCCGGAGATAATTGTGGGAAATTATTAGCGAGAGCACTGCGGGATCAGCGGATGCTCTCCTATGTTCCACATATTGTAACGCCTCAGCATGCCAAAGTTACACTTCCAAAAGGTATCGCCAATGCCTTCCGAGAGTACCACTTTAACTTGTACAACTTGCATCCTACACTTGATCCTGGAGTAGAAAAGGATGTCACCAGCACACCAAGCTGTAGTGTTCAGCAATTGTCCATTTTAATGCCCACCAATGTCATTCAATAGCTAGGTGACATGCTTTTCTACTTCATATTTTGGCACGGTGCCCCCGTGGTCACTGCTAGCCCCCTCTTGTAATTTACAACAAATCCGGTAAGGAGTGCAGCAAGATATATATGTTTCTACACCTGATCCTGTCTCTCGGGATTCATTGCATGCTAAGATCTCCTCCTACCTGAACTTGAGTACTATGCCCTACATATATATGCCACTCCAATAAGAGATGCTTTGCAATCCCCCATCACATCCGACGAGTTTCTTGCGACGCTTCAAACCACTAAGGCTGGAAAATCCAGCTACACGCAAATTATTTACTAAGATCCCGGAGACTAGGCTAAGCATTCATATGCCAGATCTGATACATTACGACCAGGTTGGCTTTATCCCGACCAGGAAAGCCCGTGATAACACAATCAAAACTCTTCACTAGGTCCATCATGCCGCTACCTCTAAGATCCCTTGCCTTTTTCTCTCCACAGATGCCGAGAAGGCGTTTGATAGAGTACCGTGGAATTTCTTGTTTGCCACTCTGAAACATATTGGTCTTGGTGATCACATGTTGTCTTGCATCTCGGCTGTTTACTCTGACACGACTGCCTGCCCTAAGGTCAACGGAGTCCTCTCGATCCTTTCCCAATCTCAAATGGAACCAGACAGGATTGACCCCTTACCCCTCTTCTGTTCACCTTGTCCCTAGAACCTTTCCTTTGGCATGTTCGGAATAATGTAGATGTGTCCAGGATTAAAGTGGGAAATACAGACTAAGGCTTCTGCATACGTGGATGACTTGATGTTCTCCCTTACCAACCCGGCACTCTCCTTGCCTAACCTCATGAAGGAATTCTTGATGTATGGTAAATTGTCTAACCTGAAGATCAACTTTAGCAAATCGGCTGCCATGGGAATTTTACTTCCGAATCCTCTTATTAGTTCCCTTTTGAGATCATTTCAATTTCCAATGGCCCACCGAGCTTTGAAATACTTGGGTACATTAATACCTTCGGACGTGAAAGATAACTTTGCCTGCAATTTTCCCCCTCTTATCTCAGGTCCGTACCCTTCTGTCCAAATGGCAATCCGGTTTCTTTTCTTGATTTGAATGTTGTAACATACTCAAAATGTCTATTTTGCCGACATTTTTATATCTATTTCAAGCCCTTCCCGTATATATCCCTGACGTGTTCTTTCGTCAAGCCAACTCATTAATGTTGAAGTTTCTCTGGACTAACCACCATCCTCGCTTACCTAACACCCTTTTAACTTGACCTAAATCCTTAGGGGGCATAGCCCCCCTGATTTAAATAAATATTATACGGGAGGACATCTGGTCTGCTTAGTCGACTGGTGCAGTCACTCATCCTCCAAACAATGGGTATTATCTTAGATATGATCTTAGAGGAATCTTTTTCACCGTTTCTTCTCTCTAGAGCGACTTGGTGTCTTCCATCCCTCCCCTCTACACTTATAGCTCATCCTCTGCTTGGCACTACCCTATCTGTTTGTGCTAAAGCTTTTTTGAGATGGCACCTGGTTGGGGAGTCCTTCCCCCTCTATTCAGTTATCGATGACCCTGATTTCCCACCAGGAGTTTTGACTGGCCCTTTTCAATCCCTTCTCCCCAAGCATCTCTCAAGTTTCCCACTTCCTCTGCAAGGGATCGTGCCCTTCTGTCACGTCTCTTATCGCTCCAGATGGTGTGTTTGGGCTAGATCATTGGAAAGCCATTCTGTTGAGACACTTCCTACTCTCTGGCAGAGCCCTTTCCCCCTTCTGTGGTTCGCCATTTACTGGATGCTGCTAAAGCCTGTATTCCTAGCCTCTGGAAGACCTGATTTTGTCCTCTCAAAATAGACATGAGCGATATACCAAGACTTGGGTTTTATTGGATGGAGTACCTGGACTCCTCTGAAGGCCGGGCTTTAACATAGTCTCTTTCTAGCTGATTAGCAATTGCAACTTCGTATACGGGTGATCCAGTGGGGGATTTCTTTCTTTCTTTCTTTCTTTCTTTCTTTCTTTCTTTCTTTCTTTCTTTCTTTCTTTCTTTCTTTCTTTCTTTCTTTCTTTCTTTCTTTCTTTCTTTCTTTCTTTCTTTCTTTCTTTCTTTCTTTCTTTCTTTCTTTCTTTCTTTCCTTTTTTTTTTTATCCTCTTTTTGGTTTATCCTCTTTTTGGTTTATCCCTCCCTGGTACTGGAAGATCCCTTAGGCGGTTCACATTGGACTGCCCATCATTGATTATAACAAATTCACTTACCATTTTCCAAACGATTCATAATTGTATATATCTACCGACTTCTTGTTTATTTCTTCTTTTTTTTAAGGACATGACTTATGCGATACATGATTGACTCACTCAGAGTACCTAGATCCTGCCTATTATGTCTCAGTCGCAGTCAGGTCTTTTATGGATTCATCTGATATGAAACACTGATCTTGATGTATCTCGGCTGATAATGTCATTTTATGCTGTCAATACATTGTTCTCTATTACTTTTTTGTTAGGGATGCACCGATACCGGTATTTTGGTACCGAGTACCAATAATGTTTTTTCGGTACTCGCCGATACCACTTACCGAGTAAGTCCCATTCAGGAAGCCAGGTGGCGTGTAATGACTCGCCACCTGGCTTCTTGATTAGCCGGGCAGCGTGTAAAGACTCGCCTCCCGGCTTCCCGATTAACAAGAAAGCCGTCCCATACGAATCCCCATAATAATCATAGGATCCAGTATGTCTCTGCAGTGCTCGGCTCTATGGCTTGTATGCTGCGGATCTCTGTCCCCTTTAAACTCGGCATGTCCAGCCTGTCAACCCCGGGGCCTCTACAGCCAGGAGCGGCCTTCCTCCGGTACCCAGCCTGAGCTGGTTTGCTGGCCAATCATGGAAGCCAGGCGCTGTGTAATGACGTGGTGCCCTGCTTTCTGATTGGCCGGGAGGCCGGCTCCATGCTCTCTCGTCATGAGATGACGAGGGAGCATGAAGCAGTCATTACACTGCACCCGGCTTCCTGATTGGCCAGCTTCCCGACCAATCAGAAAGCCAGGCAGCGCGTCATTACACGCTGCCCGGCTTCTTGATTGGCTGGGAAGTCGGCTCCATGCTCTCATCACAGGTGACGAGAGAGCATGAAGCCGCTTTCTGGCCAATCAGGAAACCGGGCAGCGTGTAATGACGCGCTGCCCGGCTTCCTGAAACAGGAAGTATCGGGCTAGGCATCGAAGAATTTGGGCAAGTACGAGTACTCGGCCAAATACTCGGTATCGGCACCGATATGGATATTAGTATCGGTGCATCCCTACTTTTTGTTTATACTGAAAAATTTTGATTTGTAAATAAAGAATTAAAAAAAAACTTGTATATTGAAAGAAATAGATTAATATTAACACCTGTTAAAAAAAGTAGTACAAACTACACCAACCCACCGCAACCAGTTCACTTTATTAACTGGCAACCAGTTTACCATCATTTTAATCTCCCTTTTGTAATCTGATAATAGGTTTTCATGCTACTAATTTTGTTAATAGTTGTTGCACTTTGCACTGTTTTAAAAATGTCATCATCGTATACAGTGACAGCTTCCATAAACCTGCTTTTTTTTTTTTTTCTTTCTTGTATGTAAACACTTTTTTGTTCTTAATTGGTTAACATAGGGTGTTGAAGATGCTTTTTATACACTGGTCCGTGAAATCCATCAGTACAGGATGAAAAAACTGGACAGCAATGAAGACAGCAGCCAGGGCTGTATCCGGTTGCCCTGCTCTCTCATGTAAATAGGTAAGATAAGATAAACGCCATTTTATTTGCCTGCATCAGAGTGTATGTACATATGTAAGCCTGTGCACACATGTGAAGATTGGTTGCTTGAACTAATCTCACCCAGCACCAAGAACCCAGTGCTGGCAGTGTTCTATGCAAAACAAAACAAAAAAGTGAAATGAAGAACATTGACTTGTGTACTCTTAACACCAACCTTAATCTTACATTTTTATCTAACCCTTACTCTGAACCCTCCCTTTAGCGTAACTCTAAAATGTAAAATAACTGCTTAAATTAACGTTTTTAAGTTGAACTTTGGGTACAAATTACATACATGATGCAGTCTGAATAGCATTAAAATCAGTATTTGGTATTCAGTTGCTCCACCATAACATTCTTTAAATGTAAACCAGAAAACCCAAAAATGAACACCAACAGGATGGCAAAAATGACTTCAATCAGAGTGCAGGGGAGGCATCAGAGGCCAAAAAGACCCCTTATATGTCCATAAAGTGTACCTGTCAAACAGTGCTATCCCATAACTAGCTCATCAGAACCATTGTAATAGCAAGGAGGTTAAGTGAAAAACACATTGTAAAAGTGCAAAATAAAACACATTGTAAAAGTGCAAAATGGAGGGCGGGGGGTTGAC